AACACCTGGACCGGTGCGGGCGGAGCCCGGGGCGCGCTTTCTCGGGGAGAGAAGGCTCCCCGAGCCGGGTCCGGAGGAAGGTAACGCGCCGCGCCGAGAGTTTCGGGGTTTGCATCACCCTGCTGGGTCTGCGGACTCGAGGACGCGGGAGGCGGCGAGACGCTCTCCCTGCCCCGCTGCGACTCACAGCAGCGGGGTTCTAGTCTCTATTTCTCTGCCCATTCGTTGTGTTATCTCGGGCAACTTTCTTTCCCTCTCCGGGTCTCTGTTAAATGAGGGAGGTGTTGGTGTTGACTGATGCTTTGTCGTGTTCTGAGTTCTAAACCGCGAGCAGCGTTTTGGCATCCGGCAAGCTCCCTTCTTCAAATCCCCACCTATAAGAGCCAGCTCCGCTGCCCAGGGAGCTCAGTCTTCAGGAAGCCGAGGTACCCGGTAGGCGGGGTTTCTGCTGGGCTGTCGCGTTTCCCGGGGCTTTTGAGGACTGACCCTGGGCTTTGGGCTGGCTGTTGGCGGGACCTGACCGCAGAGTAACTGCCCCCAGGTTGCTCAGGTGAAGTAAAGTAGGGCGTTAGGACCTATCTACAGGTGGGGTGCTGGGAAGGGGGAGTTGGGGGCTGATGATTTTTACTTGGAAAACAAGCAGTTTTTGTTTTGGAATTATTTTCCTACACCCAGACCTCGTCCCGTCGTGAGTTCTAAATCACAGGAATGGGATTTATCATCTTCCAGGATGGGAAACCAACAGCTTCAGCAACCAGGACATAGGGCTCCATCAGCAGTGGGCCTCTCTCCCCACCCATCCTGTTTCCTCCCTCTTCCCTTTCCTCCCTCCTGCCTTTATAAATCCCCTTGGACTTTGAGGGGCTCCATTTTCTGTCCGAATGAAAAGTGCTCATTTTCATTTAGTGCTGGTTTGTGACCAGCAGCCCCTAGAGCTTTGGGCTCTGGGTTGAGATGGAAGCCTGGATAAGAGCAGACTGTGGATCATACTCTCAGCCTCCTGACCCATACAGCCTGGCAGGGATGTGCAGAAGAAGCCCAGTAGGCTTCAGACAGACAGACATGGGAAGGTAGATGGACTCAAACTGCTGTCCAGCTTCCTGTCCCCTTCTTGGCAGCCATTCCCAGGGAGGGAATGGTGGCCCCAGCAGCCAAACAGAGGATGACTGAAAGGAGCTGAGGACTTTGGGGGGGAGGGGTTACTGTGGAAGGTCTCCAGGTGCTCCCTCCCCTCCCTTTACCCCTGTAGTCCTTCTGCCCTCTTAATGTGGTGTCTGGGTGAAATCAGATGCCAGGACCTGTCGAGAGTGGTGGGGAAGGAGGCAGGGCAGTGACAATATTGACTGTATTTATTGGGCATTTATGGGCCAGACATTCTTCTTTGCATATCATGTGTCTTTAGTTCTCACAAAGCCACATGAGGAAAGATATACTGACATTTACCCCATTTTACAAATGAGAAACTGAGGCTTAGAAAGATTGCTTCCCTTAGTCACATAGCTAGTAAGCAACATAGCTGGGATTCAAATCTAGTCTCTGTGATTCTAAAACCTGTGTTCTTTCCACCTTTTCTGGTGCTGCTTGAGTAAGGGCAAGCTGGAATCATAACAGTAAGAATGATTATTACTGAGTTCTCAGTAGGTGCCAGACACTGTTCAAAGCATTTTTAGAGGAGTTACGCCATTTATGGTGCAGGAGTTTCGGTCATTCTGGTGGGAATTAAGGACTGCCTTAGCCTCTCTCAAGTAGCAGTCCTGTTCCAGAACGCCTGCCTGATTCCCCGCAGCTGCTAGTGAGTGAGTGGGGCGGGAGCCCTGTTTGCTTTATCCTAGAGGTGGTTTGAGCTAATGAAAGATTGATTGTCCACATCTGATCCGTTGGACCTGACCGTTGGCTTGTGAATGATCCCACTGTCCCCTAAGAGGTCTTTCTCAGGCTTTGCCCAATAAACATTTGTGGAATGAATGAATTAGCACCTTGTGCAGAGTGGTCTGCTATCCTGCCGAAATGGGGCAGCCCGGGCCCCACCATCCTCAGAACCCAGGGTGCCAGACCAGGCAGTTCTCCCCTCTGGGCAAGGGAGGTAGAGTGAACTATGTCCCTGTGAGCTTCCAGATTTGCCTAATATGTTTTCTGCCACCTGTTTTATAAAGAATTTTAAAGTTATAGTAGATGAAGAAAAAATTGATTTTTTTTTAAACTAACAGGAAAAGTGACTTAGTCTCTCTCAAAAAGGGGGGTAAATAAGATGGTACTGTTTGCCTTAGGCCTTCTCAAACTTCTCCGTAGAAGAATCTCCAATAACGAAACTGACAAGCCCTTCTAGGGGTTGGGGTATTGACCCCAGCAAGATTGAAAATTGTTTTAGGAATTTATGTGATTTTTTTTCATGTGGTTTCATATGTTGAACTTGGTTTCAATATATAAAACAAGTTTTTTCCCCAAAATATTTGTGTAAAATTGGTGTCCTGGCATATTGTTTTATATTCTTGGGGGCTGAGAGTATCAAATGGAGAAGTAGGGCAAAGGTTCTGGTCTGGGGGTTTGGGTACTATTTATGTTTTTCATGCACTTAGTTTACAGTAATAGAGCTTCCCAACCCTTTGTGGAGATAACCCCTTTCCTATTTATCTGAATGAAGAATGTGTTTTAAAAATAAAAAAAAATCTTTATTGTTTGATCCTCTCACCAGCTTTATTAAGATGTAAATGGAATATAACATTTTGAGTCCATGATGATTTCCTACGTGTATATATTGCTACTATTTTTTTGTAGTGAGAACATTTAAGTATTACTCTCTAGCAACTTTCAAATATATAATACAGCATTGTTAGCTATAGTCGCCATGTTGTATATTAGATCCTCAGAACTTAAGTCATCTTATAATTGGAAGTTTGTATCCTTTGACGAACATCTCCCCATTTCTCCCACTCCCTGGTGTCTGGCAACCACCATTCTATTCCCTGTTTCCGTGAGTTCAGCTCTTTTAAGATTACACATACAAGTGACAAGTGAGATCATTATTTGTTTTCTTATTACCAGAGCTATATATATATTCATTGTAGAAAAAAACAAAATATAGATTAATAATAAGAAGAATACATCCATACTCCGAAATAACTAAGGCAAAACTTGGGAGCTAGCCTTCCGAATCTTTTTCCCTGTGTCTATATGAGTAAAGTTAAAAAAAAAAAAAAAAAAAGGGAACAAATGATGAGGCCCCTGGCTGGCTCAGTCAGAAGAGCATGTGACTCTTGATCTTGGGATTGTGAGGTCGAGCCCCACGTTGGGTGTAGAGCTTGCTAAAAAATAAATAAATAACTTAAAAAAAATAAAAAGAATCTCTGGTGTCTGGGTGGCTCAATCAGTTAAGCATCTGCCTTCAGCTCAGGTCATGATCCCAGGGTCCTGGGATCGAGCGCCATATCAGGCTCCCTGCTCGGCCTGCTTCTCTCTCTCTCCTCTTGCTCCCCCTGCTTGTGCTTTCTCTCTCCCTCTCTCTCTCTAACAAATAAATAAAATCTTTTTTTTTAAAAAAAAGAACTTATAAAAAATAATTAAGATCATCATAAAGGTTAATCCTGTTTGTGAACCCCAAAGTCTCCCCACCTCATAATGAATTCCCTGGTGTCATGGAGTTTCCAGCGGAGGGAAGTGCCTGCTGTGTGTGGGGCTGTTGCTGGTATTCAGGATCAAGCTGTGTTTCTTGTGAAATGACTCATGTGTCTTAAATGTCTCAAATGTAACTGAAAAGGTAGCTCTTCAGTGTTGTTGAAGTGCAAAATGTGAGCAGAAAACTAAAGCTAAATTGCACAGGGAGGAGCCTTAGATAAGATCATTGCTCCTGCATTGCATTTTATTACCTGTGTGACTTTGGGCAAGACAGGTAGCTTCTCTGAACTGGTTTTCCCTTCCGTAAATTGGAGATAATGACACCTATTCTACCTTCCCCTACCAGAGTCACTCTTGAGGACCAAGTGTCAGGTGTGATTGTTACTTGAATTGCATGCAAGTGTATATGCTATTTTTAAAAAGATGTTTAAATGAAGAAAGATCAAAAGTATTGTAGGTCTTTATAAAGTGCTGGAATCTAACTCATGGGCTTAACATTTCAGTAGGGCTTAACTATAATGCAAATGCTCTGTTGGATTCCTACTCTAAGTTTTCTTTGAAAAATATGATTCCTTGATGGCTAGCATCTCGTTGATCATCATCACAATTCTGAACTGAAAAAAAGGACAGGAAATAGTCCCATTTCACAGAATAAAAGCAGGCTTGCCATTCAAGGGAGCTGTTCATTGACACAGAGAGTCCTAGAATCCCAGGGCTTTCTCTAATTGCCTTAAGCAATGTAGAGGTATACAAGGAAGAAGCAGTGAGAGTAGCTGGAAAGACAGGGTGCTTGTAGGGGCATGGCTGAATACTGGCCCTTGAGCCACTGCCTCAAGGGCTGCTCCCAGGCATGCATGCTCTCAGATCCTGGCAGTTCCGGAAGGGGCCCTGTATTGGGAGGCAGGTGTCTCAGCTTCTGTTCCTCCTCCAAAGACGAGCTGTGTAATCTTAGCCATATCTTCTCCTTGAGCCTTGGTTTCTTTATAAAGTGGAGGGATTAGGACCAGAGGAGGTACCTTCGAGTCTTAAAAATCTATGATTCTGGTCATTTTTCATCTATGTCTGCCCAGATGGAACTTTGGTGGAGAATTACCACATCCAGATAAATCAGGTGTGGGGAAAATGTTTCCACTTCCTGTTGCTTCCAGCTTTTGGTGCCCCTCATGATATTCTAAGCGTCTCCCCAGCTGACACCCTCATGCAGAAGACACGATCCATAGATCATTAAGAGGAGAATTGTTTCTGCTCATCTATTTGTTACTATTAATCTAAAACCTCCTTAGATTTTTGGGAGGGAGAACTACTTTTGGTAACTTTGGGGAAGGTTGACAGTGTATAGTGAAAGCAGGTTATTTCTAGCAATAAGGCTATGTGTGTACTTGGCCTTGTGCCATGACTTTTGCAGAATGTGGGAGAAGCACACTCTTGAGTGGCTCAGAGCTCAAGGAGAGGGAGATTCAGGGAGGAA